TCTCGGGCTCACTTTTATGCACACAGTTGCCTGTATGTTGAGAGGGTCTGACATTTCATTTACTAGTCGTACTCACTGTGGGAAAACTCCTGTCCTGAAGGAGTCCACCATTTGCCTTTTTTTTCCTAGATGTGGCAGAGCATATCTTTACAACAATAAAGATTTTGTAAAACAGATGTTGTTCACTGTTTTAGTGCTAATATTTGAGCTAATTGTGAGAAAACGATTGGGAAATAAGATTGTGTCTTCCATTCAGATGGATAGAGAGTTCTTAAAAATAAATTTCCAAAGGGACTTGTTGAGACTATCCCTGTATCTTCCTGCACCAGTGAAGAGTACTAGTTTGACTTAGACAGTAACAAAGACTGAATTGCAGTGCTAAAATCAGTAACTCTGCTCACCTTGAGTTCTGGCTGTCCAGAGGACAGTTCTCTGCAGGCACAGCTACACAGAGTTTGGTTTCCTGGTGCTGCTGAAAATGTCCTGGAATCCCACCTTACTGGAGGTTGCTTTCCATGCTTAGTCAGAAGTTCTGTGTAACCTTAGTTGAAATGTAAGACCTGCACAGTGACTTCTGCTCTCTGACTGAGGGACAGACTGCTGGGTTTGGGTGAGGTTTCTCTTCTCCTGATGTTTTAAATGTTCTCAGAATCCACATGTAAATCTTTATCTACAGGAGGAAGCTCAAAATAACCAAAAGAGAGAGCAGCTGGAACACTTGTGGAAGGACATGGGCAGTGTGTGTGTGCAGGGCAGCACACTGGCAGGTACCTCCCCAGGAAGATAAAGGTTACTGCAGAAGTTTTGTGAAGAGTTTGCCTTGTGCAGTAATACGGTGCTTCTTTGTCCTCACAAGAAGTGTGAAAGCAGCTCCATGTTAGAGGAGTGGGGCTTGAGTTCCTGTGGGATTGGTCACACTCAGCTCTTCCTGTGTCAGTCACAGGTTTGGAAGAAACCCCACTGTGTAGCTAAAGCAGTGGACCTACTAGAAATAATGAAATACTTTAGAAAAGGTGAAACAGTCAGACTAGAATATGAGGAAGCTCTGCTGTTGGCTGCTCTGTTCCTCATATGAGGCGAGTAGGTGCTGATGGAGTCTGTCCTGTGTCTGGGATCCACAAGCAGCTTTCTGTCCCCTTAGGGCAGGTGTTCATTGCTGTGTTTCTGTGCAGATGGAAACCTTACCTTTAGCAAGCTGGTTTGTGTACAGCCATTTCTGTTCCCTTCAAGGACCTGATGCTTCTGCAATGGGTCCCTCTGAGCTCATACTAACACGAGGAACTCTCGATGAAGAGCAAGAAGAGAGGGAGAGTGACACTGATGACATTGACCATGAAGGTAAGGGAATGAGGTCTAAAAGCTGCCTGTCTAGTCAAGAAATCCCCTCTATATTTCATGACCTGGATAGACTGTAAGGAGAGCCTAGAAAACAAGCAAACATTCAGTCACCTGATGTGTCAGAATCTGTGGCAGAAGCTCAGCTGCAATGGTCAGTGCAGGGATATCACCCTGTAACCTTTGTGGAAGTTCAATTGTAAATTTTCTATTCATGTAATTAATAGGTGTATAACACACATAAACCAGAGAACTTGTTAGGCTTGGGGCATGTAGTGACCTCTGAACCTGATTGATGCACAGATGTGTCCATCATCTTTTTGGCCTTACAGCTTCTGCCCCTGGCTCTCTTCCCTTTTCCTGTGACTGTGGTCTTGGAGCAATCTTCTAAGTTGTTACAGTGTGATTTTTCTCTTATATAGCTCACAGACTTAATCTTCGTTCTTTCCCTGTTCCACTGATGGGTAGGATCACTTCTTTCCTTTGCCCCGTAATGTAGTTGAAGATGGAATAGACTTTCTATGTTGCTTTGGCTATTCTGATTCTAGCTTTTTTTCAGTAACACAAGTAGAACAAGTACTGAAATAGCGCTGAACTGTCGTTTCTTCCCCCAGTGACTGAGGAGAGTCATGAAGAACCAGCCTTCAGAAACTTTATGCAGGACATGCGGATGAAATGCCAGAGGAGAAGCAACGCGAATGAATGAGACCTGCAGAAACAGAAGGTTTGGAATCACTTGTAATGGAGTTAAAACTGAAGGAACAGCATAAAGAAACTTGCATGGAACTTTTATCTGTGAACAACTTCCTCTGATAGATTTTTATTTTTCTTTCTGCAGTAGCTGTTGGTCCGATGAGTTAAAGGTCTTGCAGCCAACTGACTGCACATTTGGCCATCTGCCACTGTGGCTTCCTGAAGCTGAAGGAACCAGAAAGCAGTTTCTTTTCCTGCAACTTCTTCAGATCTCTCTGTTGAGAGCTTAGATTTTGAGCTCTGACAGCGTTAGCATCCAGAGTACCCACTGGTCCCCAGAGGCACCTTCCGTTTGCTGAGTGCAGTCAGGCATCTGCTGCAGCCAGGGCACAACTTGGTCGATCCACTGTTTGATGTTTTGGTTTTCATTAAGTAGATTTTATGTACTAAGAAATGCGTGATGGTTAATAGAAGGAGATTTCATGTCACCATTCTAAGGTGAGACTTTTTCCCTGTGCTCGCAGCCTGTCCGTATGGATGCGCAGCAAATGCATCTGAAGTATTTTACAACCCTGCAGGTTACCTGGTGAAAACAGGGAGGTCCCTTTGCCCACATTGCCTTTCTCTTGCCCCTCTCCAGCCTGAGGCCACTCCTCTGCTCACTCACTCTGGCCTCGCTGTGCTACACGATGCCTCTTCTGTCTTCTCCAATGGCTGCTGCCACGAAAAGAGGACACAGTGAGTCCCAAGTGCTGACCCCTCA